GGGCGTGGGGCAGAGCCGGGGCGTTTGCCTTGGCTGTCTTCTCCCCTTTCCCCATCTCCTGGAATTACAGAGCTGTTGTCGTGGTGTTGGTGGGGGAGATATCAAACCAGTTACCGGACGGTGTGATAACACCAGCCCCGGGAGATGGTGCAGAGCAGAGGGGTGGAATAAGGACACGCTGAGCTGCAGTTTTGCTGCTCACGTCGAGGCGTGATGGAGAAAAACAGTCAAGAGCGATTTTTCAGTCTGACCCAGGTGTGCATGTTAGCATGCAGATAAAATTTCCGCGTGCCATGCCACGTTGCTCGTTGTGCTCTGCTGGCGCACGTGTGCGATGGGGCAGGGAGGCTGGAGCGAAGCGGGGGGATTCTTTAAACCTAGGGACGGCTCACTGCAAACCTGCTCGAGCCTCTGCCCGTGTCCCGCTGGCGGGGAGCACCGAGTCTGGAGGCAGAGATCCCTCCCTGCATATCCGTAGCGGGCTGTCGCGCTCCAGCTTAGTGACTCTCTGTCTTCTGTGGGGTTGGGGCACGGCAGCAAGCGGGGGAGATGGCTAAACACGGAGTGAGAGGGTGGTGAGATGCAGGAGGAGAGCTCGTGCTCTCCTTCGTGTGCCGGGGAGCGAGTGCCAGGATGCATGTCATCTCATCGCTCACCCCTCAGCCCCCGCGGGCTTTGCTGACATGGACCCAGCGCTGCTGGGGCTGGTCCACAACCGTCCGTCCTGCTGATTCAAGCTGCTGATGCCCGGTGTGTCGGGACGCGGCTGTGCCTGCAGTCCTGCGCGGCCAGGCTCCGGGACGGTGCGTTTCGAGGAGCACAGGACAAAGTCCCAGGGAGAGCTGCCTCGATGGAGGGTATCCAGCCACGGGACCACCTGCGAGAGCAACCTGAGCTAAACCTTCTCCCATCTGCAAGACCCTTCTCCTTGGGACAGCGTTTGTATCTGGCAGAGGGGGAGCGTTCAAGGCACAGCGGATTGCCCAAAGCAGAGCTCTCTAATGGGTCTGTCTCGTGTGGGAGACACGTGGGTGCTGCGGAGATATCCCAGACAAACCTCCAGCTGCAGGGACGGGGCATGAGACAAACTGGACGTGGTTCCTGCCTGCAGAAAACTAACGGGCACTCAGACCTTGGGATGCCGTCGCGCTGGACGTGCAGGGCGAGGGTGCAGCAAGGGAAGTCTTTATTTGCTGGCAATTGCCTCTCTTGCCGTCAGCACCTCGGGGTCCTTTCTCCGATCCTTACTTTCGACAGGAATAAACACTTCAGGCACAAACCCAATTGCTTTGTAGTCGTGTGGTTTTGTTTGCTTGTTCCTTCTGTTCGTTCCAGAACTTGCTCTGCCTCGATATTTCACTGGTGAGTGGGGTCGCTGGCATGCGGTGGGGTGCAAATGCTAGCGCTGGGGCTGTCTCCCCTTGCTTGGGCTGTCTCGCACGCGCCCCTGCCTCCTCCCCACGCAGTCCACGCGAGCCCCTGCCTCAGCCGGCCGCTTCTCTCTCCCCTGCAGGAGCGGCTGCAAGGTGAAGCAATACGAGACGCAGTCCCTGGTCCTGGATGTTTGCGCTCAGGTACGTGGGATCCGACCCCGGGAGCCGCTGGCTGGGAGCAGGGATGCTCGGACAGCCCGGATGGCAGCGTGGGGAGAGCGGGGCTGGTGTGCGGCTGCAGGAATGTCCGAGCAAAGGGCTGGTTCCCTGAAAGCAGCAGCTCTCAGCCGTGGGGGGAACGTCTTCCCCGTGGGCAGTTGCTGGTGGGATGGGAGGGGGGAGGGCTGTGCTTGGTGCTCCCCCCGAGCTGAGCCTGTCCCTGGGGGTTTCCTGCCCAGTAACCGCTCTGTTTTCCACGTGGGTCATTGGGGTCCGTGTGCGTGCAGTACCTCAGCCCTGTCCCCAGCGCGGGCCAGAGCAAAGCACCGAGCTCTGTGGTCGGGTTGATGGATTTTGCTTATTAATCACTTCTGTCCCCGGCACCATGTGTTTCCTTCTGCCAAAACCTACCAGGGAGCTGGTGGGGAGCAGCTTGTTGGTGGATGCTAAGCCTCCCGTGCTTTCCATGGACTGTCCGGGCAGCCTGGTTGCCTGATCCCCAGGGATTAGTTCAGTCCTGCTTAACTCCATGCCTTGATCCTGCAGGATGAAGAAGCGTTGATCTCAGAAATCCCAGATATTGCAAATCGGGATGGACATGCCACTGATGAGGAGAAGCTGGCCTCCACCACCTCCACATTGAAACCAGCTGGGCTGGAGAAGAAGGGTGAGCTAGAAGATGACCTGGAGTACTTCGAGTGCTCGAACGTTCCCGTGCCGGCGGCGAAGCACGGCATGGAGGCAGGTAAGGAGCATCCCTGCTGCCTCTGGCTCTGGAGACGCGCTGTGTGCGCGCCCAGGCAATCTCTGCAGCCTCTGGCAATGAAGTGGTGGTGTTGAGGCAATGGAGCTTCATCGCAGTTTATTTACGCTGACAGAACTAAAAGCTGCTGCAAGTTATAATGAAACCTCCAATTGCTTATCTGCGCTATTTCCATTATGGAAAAATCATGGTATGAGCTGTGTTTATTTAGAGTCTCTCAATTAGAGCTCCCTGCCCGTGGCACACGCTGCGTCGCAGCCGTGCTGCAAGTCCCCTCCTGAAACCAGCGTTCACCGGTGAGCCGAGCCAAGGGCTGAGCTGAGCAATCGCACGGCATTCAGCTGGGATGCTCCTGGTTTGTGCCCTGCCTTCCCGGTTGCAGGCTGCCCTGCTCAAAGCCTGTGCCAGGAGCGGAGCTGCCGGGATTCGGTATCCCAGCGCAAGGGCTCTGGTTGATGGAGATCTCAGCGTTGCTACGGAAGACGTCCGCTAATGCTCCTGGTGGCATTTTGCTGTCAGTCTCCTATGTAATTAGCCTCTCTGACCAATCCATTAAAAAATAATTAAAAGCCAGGCAACACGACATTTAATCGATAGCAAAATTATAGGTGCAAGCAGGAGAAATCACGGCACGGAAGGTTTGCAGCTCTCCCCTGCGCAGGTACACGTTAATCATTTCTCCTGAATGCTGGGCAGAGCTGCGGGCTCTCGGGAGAGGAAAACAGTCCTTTGTCTCTCAAGGGAGGAAAAATTTGATAGTCAGCGGAGAGGCTGGGAGGTTTTATTCATTGCCGCTCATCTCGGAGGGCCAGGCAGGGGTGCTGGGGCTCTGGGCCAGCTGCGGGGACGGTGCTGTGTGCTGTTGCAAGCAGCCGCCGACCGGGGCACAGAGATAAATGGGGGGAAACACTGGGAAATCTGCAGTCCCCAGCGTTAACGTTGCCTCCTTCCTTTCTTAGCTGGGCTCTAGCAATACTGTTTTCTCTGCCCAGTTAACACACGAACAGCCAGTCGTGTTTGAGTGAGGCTCGTGAATTATCTCCCGTGCTATGTGAGATGGCAGGGTGTCCCGCACGCTGCAGACGGGAGGAGACTGCTTTTATCTTCTCTCCGCTGCTGTTAAGAATAGCGGGGGCCATGTGGCAGCTCCTTTGGGGGGGTGTTGGGCCCAGTTGGCGTGGGCTGAGGCTTGTGCTATTCGGAGCGGCCCGAGCAGCTGGGCTTTCACCCCAGGGATGCATCCTGCCTGCGCCGGCCAGCAAAATAAGGAATGTCCCGTGCATCTTCATTCCTCCTCCTCTGCCCGCTGCGGTCCTGGGGAATGGCTGGTATGGGTGGCAGCTGCGGGGACACAGGCACGGGGCTGGACTGCCACCAGAGGGGAGTGTTGGTTTCCACTCGGGGAGTGCAGGAGGAGAGTCTGGCAAGGCAGGGTGCAGGATGCGTCCTCCCTGCAAGGGTGGAAGCCAGGGGCAGGGATACAGGATGCATCCTTCCTGCAAGGGCAAGAGCTGGGGGCAAAGAAGCCTTTGGGAGGGGATGTTCAGGGGATGTAGAGACTCAGGGGGTGCCCCTCTGCATCGCAGCAAATCTGCGTGTGCCGCCAGGGTCTTGTCTCCGGGTAGCTAAGAGGCTGTATTTCCTTGTCTTCAGGCTTCGAAAAGGAGATCTCCAAGCAGATGGAAAAGGATGGGCCTGGCATCTTCCCCGTGAGTGCCTCTTGCTTCCTCCTCCCTCGTCTGCAGGGAGGCTCGGGGTGGCTGTGCCAGCGCTGGCGTGGGGCTCGGCAGGGCCGTGGGGTTGCGGGAGGGCTGATCCTCCTGCACCGCAGTTGCCGCCTGACCCGCCGTGCAGAGGAGTGGGGGAAGCTGCAGCAAACGTTGCTGCTAATTCCAGAAGTGCTACCAAAACCTCTCTGAAATGAGTTTCTTTGGGAGCTAGAATTCTTGAAAAGCCCACGCGGGGACTTGATAAAAATAGCGGTGATTTCCCGGCAGGGCAGGAGGAGCCTGGCAGGGGACCGGTCCCTACTGGGTGGGCGCTGCCGCTTGCGGCGTGGGAGGCAGAGATGCTGGGGATGGAGCAGGGCTGGTGAGGAGCCAGGGCTGCAGCTGTGGGAGGGCAAGGAGAGCAAACGCTGCCTTTGGAAGTGGCTGGATGACAGTGAAAGGGCAGAGGACCTCACCGGAAGGGATAAAATCCAGGACAGGGGCTGTGTCTCACGTGTAGGAGTCCCAGGCCGGCTCTGACGGCCGGTTGGTGCCTGTGCCTTCTACAAGGGATCCTCACACACTGCTTTCAGGAAGGCAGCTGGCAGCAGAGATGGGGGGTT